AAGGAAGGAAGGAAGGAAGGAAGGAAGGAAGGAAGGAAGGAAGGAAGAAGGAAAAGAAAAGAAAGAAAGAAAAAAAGAAAGAAGGAAAGAAGAAAGAAAGGAAGAAAGAAAGAAAGAAAAAGAAAGAGAAAAGAAAGAAAGAAAGAAAAAAGAAAGAAAGAAAGAAAGAAAGGAAAGAAAGAAAGAGAAAGAAAGAAAGAAAGGAAAGAGAGAATGAAAAAGAAAGTTAGTTTTCAAATAATCAAAATATCACTGTATCCAGCAAATTTCTGTTCCGGGCAAGAGTTGTTACATACAAATTTTTAATCCTTATACTTGCAGAGAATTATAAGGTTATTGGTGGTGGTCAGTCCTAACTGACTGCTATGATGAAAGATAATTATAACTTCATGGAAAACAAACAATTCAACTGGTTTGTTTTTAGGTCATACCTTCCCTAAAAACATTCTCTTTTAGTTTCCTTAATAATTATCATTCTTGCAATGGCTGTGGAAGAAAGACAGTATTTTAAGATAAGATTTGTCTAGATAGACCTTTGAAGGGTGCCTGAAGATAGTGGTGTTAGGGCAGGATGCAGGGAGGAGGGTATGGTGTATGGGGAAAGAGTAATGAGGGTAGAGCCCACTTGTAATTTGCTAATTGTTAATATCTATTCTGGGGAATTCTGAACTCTCAAAACAAAATGAACAAAAAATCCAGCTGACCTAACCAACCTACTTACCTACAGACAGACAAAAACTGGAATTTATCATAATTATTTGAAAGTGAAATTATGGAAAACTTAAAAAATTCTGATTGAGATGGCTTTGGTTTGAAAGTCTCCTAAAATGAATTAACTTCTTTTCCTGATTAAAGATAATGTACTGAATATATAATTGAGATGTTCTTCATTTAGAATTATCTTTCTGAGCTTCCTCATTGTATAGATCTGTTGGGGCAGGCTAGTTAAGTATGGAAAACCATAGGAAAAAGATTAGCACTGGCTTCTAAATACTGGAAATTGTCCGGAAACTGTCTTTTGAATGCTTCCCTGCCCTACCTTTACTTTCTAATTTCTCTTTCTCTAAAGTGAAGTTATTAGAAAAATTCTGGGCTGGGTGCGGTGGCTCATGCCTGTAATCCCAGCACTTTCGGAGGCCGAGGCAGGCAGATCTCAAAATCAGGAGATCGAAATCAATCTGATCAACATGGTGAAACCCTGTCTCTATTAAAAATACAAATAAAATTAGCTGGGAGTGGTGGCAGGTGCCTGTAATCCCAGCTACTTGGGAGACTGAGGCAGGAGAATCAAAATCAAGGCGGAGGTTGCTGTGAGCAGAGTTCATGGCATTGCACTCCAGCCTGGTGACAGTGAGACTCCCTCACAAAAATAAAAAACAAATAAAAAAAAATTAAAAAAAATAAAAAAAAATTCTGGGCCGGGCGCGGTGGCTCAAGCCTGTAATCCCAGCACTTTGGGAGGCCAAGGCGGGTGGATCATGAGGTCAAGAGATCGAGACCATCCTGGTCAACATGGTGAAACCCCATCTCAACTAAAACTACAAAAAATTAGCTGGGCATGGTGGCACATGCCTGTAATCCCAACTACTCAGGAGGCTGAGGCAGGAGAATTGCCTGAACCCAGGAGGCGGAGGTTGCGGCGAGCCGAGATTGCATCATTGCACTCCAGCCTGGGTAACAAGAGCGAAATTCCATCTCAAAAAAAAAAAAACAACAACAACAACAACAACAAAAAAAAATTCTGAATGAGAGCACTGGTTTTTATTGTATTATAGTAAGACTTCATGCTAATCATTTGTTGGCCAGTATTCCGTTTCCCATATGTGTTTGAAATATTCTGATTTTAGTTTGTGGTACTTATTTTCTTCCTCGAATAGTACCTGTGACAGTATCTGCATATTTTTCTTTAATATTATCTAAAGAAAATGTGATACTAAAATGTGTGAAATTTCATGTGTTCACAAAACATCTAAAAGATAAGAAATAGTACATTAGAAAATTTCTGTTGTTTCTAGGCCTAATGATAATGGTTCAAATGTACAGTTACAGCTGAAATTCAAGTTTCTTCCAGCAAAGAGAGTTAGCATGAGAACTAAAATCAAGGCTATATTACACCAGATGTTGAAAGACAACATGGCATCCTGGAATGCAGTTCCTGCTTCCATTGAACTCAAGGGTATTTGACTTATTTCCGTTATTTTCTATTATGTAGATTTTTTTTTGGATTTTTTTTTTTAAGTACTAAAAAGTGAACTAAGAGTTTTAGTAATTTGGGGAAAAAATATGCGTACCTTACTCCATCGCTCCTACAAATGACTTAGTAGTGGAAGGGGCAGTGCTATGGAATCATTGCCTGAAGAATGATAGGAATGAGGGTTACTTTGCAAGCATGGATATAAATATGAAAGCGTTTGCCTATTATGCATGGGAAAGGGGGTGAAAGGTTCTGATTGAAGTATCTTTCCTTTCTACTCCCTGCTTCTGTCAGAATCTCATGACAAGAAGCAGATTTAGGATTTTCTTGGTCTTTCGGTAAGGAGATTGCAGGAGTAGGAACAATGTTGGGGATGGGAGTTCTTACCAATTCTTGTGAAAAAACTGAAGTAATACACTTCTAAAGAAAAGAATTGTCTGGAATAATTCCCCAGAAAACAAGGCAAAAAATGAGAAGATTTTGCCTCCTTACAGAAAGGGAAGTTTGTAAAGATTGTGAAGGTTCTGCAAAGGCCTTGAAAAGGCCAGCTAGGTGATAAGCATGTAGTTTCAGAGTCTGCTTCATGGTTCTTCTAGACAGACAATTAACCCTAGTGTACTTGAGAGCTTGAAAGGTCAACATTTGCCAGTTACTGCTCCTTTGCCACACAATAAAGACCCCATCACCAGTGGACAACTAACAAGAAGTGAACCTGAGGTAGAACTTTTCAAGATAGTAATAACATTTTTCTGTAGGTAGCTTTTGGGAAAGAGGGATACATTGGTTACTGGCTCTCTGTGTCCCATAGTGTATAGTCAACATTTTCTAGTGTTTTTTTAGTTCCCTCCTCTTCTCTTCTCTCTAAAGACTTTTACCAATAGGAAAAACATTTAAATTTAAGTTCTCAAAATTTCATGATTCATTCTTAGTAAGGAGATTACCCTAAAGAGCAGGATGGGCCCAATGAAGTGTAATTTTAATTGGGGCATTTTCCTTAAAATATATATAAGTGTCAGCATTTCAGAGTAAAGAGAATTATCACTGGAAAGAAATCCCTATCATGATCTCTTAAAAAATATTTGTAAGAGTGCCAGCTTCTTAACAGCACTGAATATTTTACTTCAATAATTGTAAAACTGAAAGCTTTGTTTTTTATTCCCATTTCTCTTTTTCTAGACTACCTGGTAGAGATATGGAGAGATGGTTATAATGTAACAAATAAGAGTCAGAGGGGCTGAAAATACCTGAGCTACTCTAAATAGTTAAATGTTGGACAATATTGGGTTAGGAAAGCTAGCATTTATGTTTTTAGGTTGAAGTCAATTGCTTGGTGATATTTGATCAACTTTATGTTTTGTTTTGTTTTTCACTTTCAGAAATCAGCAAAGCTGCTTCTGAAATGCTTACCAACAACTGTAAGTTAAGGATCCTTTTATTATAAATTTGATGGATTCACAGGTATTTTTCCATCATTTTCTATAAAATGTATTTGAAATATATCATGTGAAAATCCATAGAATACTTTCAAAATTACTGGATATATCAGTTATTGACTTGGAATTTCTTTTTTTTTTTTTTTTTTTGACACGGCGTTTTGCTCTTGTTACCCAGGCTGGAGTGCAATGGCGCGATCTCGGCTCACCGCAACCTCCGCCTCCTGGGTTCAGGCAATTCTCCTGCCTCAGCCTCCTGAGTAGCTGGGATTACAGGCACGCGCCACCATGCTCAGATGATTTTTTGTATTTTTAGTAGAGACGGGGTTTCACCATGTTGACCAGGATGGTCTCGATCTCTTGACCTCGTGATCCACCTGCCTTGGCCTCCCAAAGTGCTGGGATTACAGGCATGAGCCACCGCGCCAGGGCGGAATTTCTTTTTGAAAAACATTGGTCTATTAATTTTGACATTTATTAAAAATTATACAAAAAGTTAAATGAAAATCGATTCCAAATAATAAAATTGTGAGTGAAAAATATCATATTTAAGTATGTTAAAATGAGAAAGATTGAAGGAAATGACAACTTAGGATAAGAAGAAAAGATAAAACCAGGCTCTATCAAATATATTTAAGATAAAAACATCTTAAAAATTATTATTATTTTTTGCTTTAGAAATAGGATGTTGCTATGTTGTGTAGGCTAAAGTGCAATTCACAGGTGCAACTGTAATGGACTACAGTCTGGAACTCTTGGGCTCAAGGAATCCTCCTGCCTCAGCCTCCTAAGTAGCTGTAGGCCTGTAGGAGCACATCACTGTCGAGTTATATCTTTTAAATAAATTCTCTTTAAGAGTATCATGTTGTCCACAAGATACATCCATGCATTCATTCACTCCATGGCTATTTATGGAGTATCGATCATGAACAATGCATATACTATGCAAAATGTAGATATCAAAGTTTCTACCTTCAAGAATCTGCTTAGAGAGACAAGAGTTATAACACATAGACACAACAAAAGACGGTGGTTGAAAGATGCTTGAGACTGGAAAAGAGGATAAGTAAGAACCACTCAAACCAAGACAGAATAGAGAACCATTACAGGATTATCTTGTAGAAAACAAACATCATCAATTAGGAGATGTTGAATAATCACTGATGAGTTTCAAGTAATTTTTAATGATATATTTTTTATAATGCATAATCAAAGATACCTGCTCTTGTGTAAATAAATCCTTTCTCTAGGTTGTGGGAGGCAACTAGCCAACAGTATCATAACTGGCAACAAAATTGTGAACGGAAAAAGTGCCCAGGCGGGGGCATGGCCATGGCAGGCCAGCATGCAATGGAAAGGCCATCACTACTGTGGAGCCTCTCTGATCAGCAGCAGGTGGCTGTTATCTGCAGCTCACTGCTTTGCTAAGTAAGTCTGAAAATTTGGCTAAATGAAGGATGCTGGGTGCAAAACTATTTTGGATAGTTTGTAGGGGTTAACTTAATGTGTGAAGCTTCACAAGGCCATATGAAATTTACAATCACATAGAACAATTACAATCACCTGTCTAATTAAAGGGCAGGAAAAGCATTTAAATTAGGGAAAGGAGAGAAAAGCCAATGGAAGTATTAATTAACATTTTCCAAATAGCTACCTTGGCCTGACATTAGGTGCTTCACTTACATCATTTCACTTAATCACAGCATTCAATTCTGCATGGAAAGTATAATTTAACCTATTTGAAGGCGAGGAAACCAAGGCTCACTTAGGAAATGCGACAAAACTTGACTAAGATCAGCCAGCTCTTAAATAAATTGAATGTAAACTTGAGTATGTCTGACTCCAGTTACTAGGTGTTTCCTTGTCTTTCCACCAGAGGCTTATAATCTATTTTTTAAAAATTCAATGCCATACATTAAAAGTTTGAGGCCGCATAGTGTCATAAACATGACATGTATTACAAAGATAGTAAGTGCTACGGAAATTTGAAGAAGAAAGCCAGGACATCCATCTGATGTAAAATTTAATCTGGACCCAAAAGTTGAGTACATTCAAAGGAAGGTAAATTGTTCTACCAAAAAGACACATGCACTTATATGTATAACACAGCTCTATTCACAATAGCAAAAACATGAAATCAACCTAGATGCCCAGCAACGGTGAACTGGATAAAGAAAATATGAGTCACATACACCATGGAATACTATACAGCCATAAAAAAGAATAAAATCATGGCCTTTGCAGGAACATGGATGCAGCTGCAGGCTATTATCCTAGCTAAATGAATTAATGCTGCAACAGAAAACTAAATACTTCATGGTGTCACTTGTAAGTGGGAGCTAAACATTGAGTACATATGGATACAAGGAGGGGAACAATAGACATTAGGGCCTACTTGAGGGTGATAGAAGGGTAAGGATCAAAAAGTAGCTATTGACACCAAGGGTATGTGGTAATAAGACTAATTCTGGATCCCATCCATTTACGGGATTGAGGATGCTCATAAGATTTCTGACCAAATTAAATGTTCAGAAACAGTGGAACTGAATAAGCAGGGGAAAACATCAGTGACTCTACTTGAAAGGATTTTCAAAAAGCTGACAAATCTGAATCCTTAGCATTATTTTTATGTGACTGCAACATTTACAACAGCTCCACGTCAAATATATTTTATAAAATAAGAATTTCAGTGGCTTACAGTGTTGTTTGGGAATCCCGTGCCTTAAGGTTGTGAGATAATCACCGCTAACACTGTTGTGACCCAGAAACTGAGTATATTCTAATTACATTGTGTCTTCTAGGAGAAACAATTCAAAAGATTGGACTGTCAACTTTGGAACCGTAGTAAATAAACCATATATGACACGCAAAGTACAAAAGATTATTTTTCATGAAAATTATAGCAGTCCTGGGCTTCATGATGATATTGCCCTCGTACAGCTTGCTGAAGAAGTTTCTTTTACGAAGTACATTCGTAGGATTTGTCTTCCTGAAGCCAAAATGAAGCTCTCACAAAATGACAATGTTGTAGTTACAGGGTGGGGAACACTTCACATGAATGGTAACTTTTTTTTTTTTTTATAAAATCTTAATAGCTACATGGGAATAATTATTTAATCAATCAATCAATTATCCCCTCATGCAATTCATTAACAAATATTCTGAAAAGAAAACCAAGTGGTGGGACAAAAAGCACGACATCAAATTGTCTTCACTTCCTAAAATATCTCAGGGAATGGGAATTGGAAAAATTGAAATTATGTGTTAGGCAGCCAACTATTACAAACACCTGAAAATGACTAATCTAACCAGAACCGGCCTGACTCATGGTGACCAGGAGAGTCTGGGTTATGCTGTAGACATTCTTTGTACCAGCGACGTCTAAGAGCTCCATAATATGTAGCACTTACTGTCTTTAGGTGCATTTCCAGTGATACTTCAAGAAGCCTTTTTGAAGATTATTGACAACAACATTTGCAATGCCCCATATGCATTGTCTGGCTCTGTTACTGATACAATGCTGTGTGCTGGATTTATGTCAGGAGAAGCTGATGCATGTCAGGTATGTCTAGTTACATTATCCAATTGTTTTCTCCCAAACAGTTACTCAAATGGAAGTTCTAATCCACATAAAATATTGTTTGTGTTAATGGTATTGACATAGTAGCGTTGTATTTCAATACACTAAAAATGTATTAATCCCATTTATGTAGCAGACACCAGCCTACATGCTAGGGATGTGGAGGTGAACACAATCCTGCCCTGATGAAGTTTTCAATCTGGGAATTCATAAAAAGAATAATACTTAGAAGAAGTTTACAAGATGAATTTTGTCCTATTTTCTGGGCAACCAGCAGACCTAGAATGTGGTCTTCTCTGTATCCAGAGATGCAACAGGAGTCTGGGCATGTGCCTATGCCGCTCATTCCTCAGAGGCTTCATCATAGAGACTTCAGCTCAGTGCAAGCAGCTAAGTCATCTCCATATTCAGGCTGCACTCATGATATATGTCAAACTCTAGTTTGCCCAAGTCGACATTTGGCAGTTTTAGGCCACATGTTCTGGTTTGTAGCTGTCTTGTGTTTTAAAAAAACAAAATCCTAAGGGTTTCAGAGTTCTCAGCTCAAAGAGACTGGATTGGTTTCAGTGGCCAGGAGGTATTGGTAACGCCACAGGAAAGGTAAAAGGAAATTTTGTGTTAAGACAAGAAACATTTTTTCTTTTCTTCTTCTAGAATGACTCTGGTGGACCACTAACTTATCCTGATTCCAGAAATATCTGGCATCTTGTTGGAATAGTAAGCTGGGGTGATGGATGTGGTAAAAAGAATAAGCCAGGTGTCTATACTCGAGTGACTTCTTATCGCAATTGGATCACATCCAAGACTGGACTCTGAAAGAAAAGTAATCATACAAAGGAACATAAAGACAACTGCAGGCTATCCTTATCTGTGGCTTTGGGAACTTTTTATTTTGATTGTTGGTTAAACAAATCATTTTATATACAAAATTATAAATGTCTTTATTAATATTTAGTTATATCCATGACACTGTCTATGCATTTATTAATCTTTTAAGTTAATGTAAAAGACAGGAAGAGGCCGGGTGCAGTGGCTCATGCCTGTAATCCTAGGACTTTGGGAGCAAAGGTGGGTGGATTGCTTGAGCCCAGGAGTTTGAGGCCAGCTTGGGGAACATGGGTAAATCTGTGTTCAAAAAAATATAATAATTAACTAGGCATGAGAGCATGCACCTGTAGTCCCAGCTATTCAAGAGACTGAGGTGGGGGGATTGCTTGAGCCCAGCAGATCGAGGCTGCAGTGATCTGTGACTGCACCACCACTGCACTCCAGTCTGGGCAACACAGTGAGATCCTGTTTCCAAAGACAAACCAACCAACAAACAAACCAAATACAAGGGAAGAAAAGAAAGAAGGCTAATATATAATTTTTCTTAACAGCCGAGTTCTGATTCATTTTACCATTATATTCAGAATTAACCTTAATTTGTTTTCCAGAATCAAAAGAAAATAAAAAATAAATTTTGTTAGTATGAGAACATATATAGGGGATTTATCAGATGTGTTACTTTTCATTATGTCAATTATAATTTCATTTTGTTAAACTGGAATATGTGGGCCAAACAATGTACATCCATTTTTTACTTATATGTGAAATAATTCATGTACCTCATAAAATCATGCAATCTTGCAGTGAAAAAGGAGTATCAGAGGTCCAGCTAGACTGAGTCTTTTAATTTACAGATCAAAAAACTGAAGACCAGAGAAGAGAAATGATTTGCTTAAAGTCACTCTCCATCATCTCTGATAAGTTGATAAATTTATCCTTACACAAATTTGTCCTCATTGAGTTTAGATCCAAAATTTGTCAGGAATTAAAGGATGATTTTTAAGTTGCAATTATTTATATAGCATTTTCTTCATATTCGTCTTTTGTCATTTGTTTACTTTCTCTTGCAGCAAAAATAGCATGAGGTGATCAGTGGCAGAGAACTGTGTGGCATCTCCTTATAGTAAAAATGCAATCATACAGAGGGCTAACTTTGCAATCTCCACAAATAATTTACCTTTTGTAATTTTCTAAATGTAAAAGTCACCAAAAATTTAATGGGCATTAAACTAAACTAAAAAAAAAACAACAAAAAACTCCTTTCTTCAGTTGTTTGTGGAGTTACTTTTCTTTAAATTATGGCTCAAATGACATGCATATTGACATTAAGCAAATCCATAACCAGCTGTGACAAGATGGGGTCTTTCTCGCCTCACTTCTGCTTCAGACCAGCCACACACACATATTTACCGAGTCCCTAGTGTGTTTCAGGAACTGTCAGGTATAGATACAATGTCTTCCTTCAAGGATACCACATTCAGTGAATAAAAATAGTAGACACATACATAATTTTGGATTGTGATAAATGTTATGAAGGAAACAAAAAGTAATGTGATGGACAATGATGGAGCAGATACACCATTTTTTAGATTGGGATGTCTGAATAGCATCTCTGAGTGGGTAACCATTTGAGCTATACCTAAAAAAGGATGAAAAGCCAAAACAGAAAACATTTGAAAGAAAAGATATCCAAAGGGAACAAATATAAGATCCAGAGAGAGAGAAAAGTGAGGTGGATATTTTGGTCAGAAAGAAGGCCAATATGACGGGAGCCTAGTGGATCAATGAGTGATGGTAGGAGAGTAGATGGAAGAGGTAGCTGGGGGCCAAGTCAAGTACCTCTTAGTAAGTCATGGTAAAGACCTTGGATTTTCATTCTAACTGCAATTGGAGGCCAAGGAGTTTTCCAAGAAGAGGGAGTGAGATGATCTAATAAACACTTTGAAAAGATTACTTAACTTTGATGAAAAGAATGGGCTAGAGTGGCAGTGAAGAGAGGTCAAAGGTATTACAGGCTGTGCAATGATTTCCTTGTCTTACAGATAGTTAATTCAGAAGTCAGATGTTTACAAACGTTTAATTTATCCCCAACTTTGTGAGTTGAATCACAGTCTGTCTCTTGCTTCTTCCAGGGGGAAACAAATGGAACTGAATCAGTAATAACCCCAATATGGAAGAAAGAGGGAAGTGATTGGAAGGAAAGGGTGGAAAGGAATTTGGAGGAGGGTGAAAGATTGGTAGAGAAAGAGAGCATTTGTGAGACTAAGGGTTCCATGAGAAAGGAATGAAGAGTGAAGGTTTCTCAAGACTGAGACTCCCTGGTTGAACAAGGAGGGATATGATAGCATGAGTAGCCAATCTCCAGGCTTGGTGTGGAGGTAAGGATCAGGTGGGGCAAGTTATACAAGGTAAAGCAGCTATTATCCATACAAAGGTGGATTCTCTACGGGGTGCAATAGCCTTTCAGCCTTTACTTCAGTCTTAAGAACTTAGAATCTTCACATTCATATGCACTCTATATGTGATGGATCAGCCAAAAGTCATGTTTTTTTCTTTCTTTTTGGTAATAATAGACTGCACCATCCTGGCCTTCTGATGTTAACAGCATGTTGAAAAGTTCACACAGGCAAAGAATTAGAGGTCTGCCTTGAAAAATGAAACCAACAACACTAATCACAATGCATGAAAATTAAAATGCTAAACTGACAAAAGTATCATTATTTGAATTACAAAACTAGTCACCATTTTATTAAAAAGTAAAATATTTTCCTAAATAAAGTGCTTTTACTACTCATAAGTGGTATGGAAAAGAAACCAGAAATGAGTGATCGAGACATTTTATAACTCCCATCCCCCAACTAAGAAGGACAAAACAAAATAAAACAAAAAACAACTTAGTCTAATTTAATTTTTTCTCTCTTTTTTCAACTAGGGGGAGTTGAAGTCCCTTTTGAAGGAGTCCACTGAGCAAGGATTTAACAAAGGGCATAACCATCACTGGCTAGCAGGACTACAGTTATTAATAAATGTCCATGTATTCTTGAGAAACATAAAAAATTATGTGTTTGAAATATGAAAGTGCTTGTGATATAAGATATGGACATAGTCTTGTGAACTATGAAGCATAAACCAAGATCTTTTTGTGAATGTACCGCTAATTAAAATGGCACATTTTTTTAAAGATTGAAAAAAATTAATGCCATACATGATAGCACAAAGTTGACAAGGTTGTTCCCTCTTTCTTGTGAAGCCTCCAATTAACCAACTAGTTTGGCTTTAATAAGGAATTTTTGAAAGTGACTTTCTTGTTCAAGCATTGTGTCTACTATAGAAACATCAACTTATCAGTGGATGAGAACTATCTTTTTTTAGCTCATAAGGCAGTATTTTATTGTGCAATACAGATTTTTATATTAATGCATTCGAGGTATGCTTTTGGTGAAAAATGAATCAGAAGAGACGAAGTGATGAAAGTATCTAAAAATGTTTTAAAGTTTATTTTTTAAATTTGGTCTTATATATATCCTCCTGTTCTCTTCATTAAGCTTGTCATTTGCCATTTCTAATGACTTAAACACTATGATCAGTCATGACATCTATACTCACTGCCTCTGCCCCATCTCTCCACTCACTATCTAGCCTGGCAAAACAAAAAACATGGCTCAATCCAACTCTTCAATATTTTAGTGCATGTACCATAGCTGTTGACTAGCTGGAGAAAAACACTCATCATGCTGACTAGTCTTTAAAATCATAGTCATAAACATCAGCTAGATCCTTAGTGCTCTCTGAAAATCCCTTTGCATATCCTTAGCCAAAACTCCCTCTTACTCTCCTAAATAATTCATTCACTTCTCTCCTGCCCTGAACTCCAACAACATCTTTTTCTCCTCCTTTCACTCACCTGATGATCATGCTCATTATTTCACCAAGAAAACAAGAGGAACCAGAAGAAAGTTTCTACTGGTACTTATCATAAAAACCCACAAATCTGCTTGCTTCTCAAAGGACAGTATAGTGCAACTGAACTTGAGTTAAACAGCCTTTGGGCAAACCCTGGCTTTGCCATGTACAAGATGTGTGATTTTGGGCAAATGATTTGAAATCACTGTGTCTCAGTTTCTTTGATTTGATATGGGGATAAGAATGATATCTTCTTCATGGTGTTGTTTTGTAGTATTCAAGGAGTTAACAAAAGTAATGTACTTAGAAAACATAGCAAATGCAAGATAGATGTTTGTTATTATTGTTGCCTATCCTCCTTTTTGTTACAATGGATTAACTGTTTGTACACCACTCTAAGGCCAAACTCTCCCCTTGTGCTAAGAACCCATCTGTACTCACCTTCTCAAAGATTTTATTTCTATAACTGTTGCCCATCCTTGTTTATGTCATCAATTTTACCCTCTATACTGGATCACTTCCATAGACACAGTAACTTCTGCAATATCTTCCAGATAAAAACATACTTATTTTTTAACCCTACATCTTCTCCTATATTGCTTTGTGAAACTTGTTCAAAGTGTTGCCTTTACTTCCTTTCCATTCATTGTCTTTCAAATTCACTCCAAATATTGATTCAGACGTTCCTCCAAATCTGCATTAGTCATGGTCACCAATGAATTTCATGTTGCAACTCAATTCGCAATTCTTCCCTTAATATGTCAATAATATTTAGCATTGTTGATCACTTTTTATGGAAACACTTTCTTTACCTGGCTTCCAGAAAAAAAAAAAAACAACAACATCTTTTATCGCAATTTTTCTATGTCATTAGCAATCTTCTCGGTCTCTTCTGCTGGATCTTCCACAACTTCCTCAACTTTAGATGTTGGAGTGTCCCAGAGCTCAGGCTTCTATCTATCCTCTTCTCTACTTGCACTCATACCCTAAGTGATCTTATCCAGTTCAATGGCTTTTTTTTTAAGATGAAATTTTGCTCTTGTCGCCCAGGCAGGAGGGCAATGGCACGATCTCAGCTCACTGCA